GTGATCTCGAGCCATCTCGAGCCGTCTCGGGTGATCTCGAGCCATCTCGAGCCATCTCGATCCATCTCGAGCCATCTCGGGTGATCTCGGGGCCACCGAGTGGAACTTGAGGCTCGCGGCGCCAAAGGCCTTCAGCACCGGCGCGGCGATGATCTCCTCGACCGAGCTGGGGCACTTGCGCACACCTTTTTTGTTGGCATAGGGCAGGGCGCGCGTGAGGAGGGCAGCTGGCGGCGGGGACGGAGGTGGGGGCGAGGGTGGCGGCGGCGACGGTGGAGGCGGTGAAGGTGGCAGTCTCTCGCCGTCGATGATCCACGCCGTCTGCGGCAATTGGCGGGAGAGCTTGAGGTAGCGCCCGCCCAGAAAGACGGCCGCGTGCTCCACCGACACCGAGAGCACGTTCGGCCGGCTCGGCGGCTGCGGCGGGCAGAGCGCGGACGCGCGCAGCAGCTGGTCTGCGCGCTCGCTTGAGAGCGCCTTGAGCACAGACCGAATCGAGTCGGCGGCCTCGGCCCCGCCCGCCTCGCCGCCGCGCCCACCGCCGGCCTCGCCGCCCTGCCCGCCGGCCGTCTCGCCGCCCCGCCCGCCACCCCGCCCCCACTTGCGCTTGGGCCGCGAGCGCGGCGGCGGAGGCAGCAGCGGGCGGAGCAGGTCGAGATCGGCCATGGCCTCCTCCGCGCACGGCCGCCGCACCAGCACGCTGATCTGCAGGGCGGCGTCGGTGGCGCTCGCCAGCCCGGTGGCGCGTGCGAGCCGATCCATCAGAGCCCAGCGCAGCGCCTCCTTGATGTCCACAATGTCGGCGCGGGTGGCGGCGGCAGAGTCGGCGGCGGCGGCGGCGGCATCGGCGGGCGACGGCTTGAGCTTCGCCGCGCGCTCTCGCACGAGCATGCTCGACGGCAGCTGGATGTTGAGCGTAAACTGCGTCACCTCATACGCTACGGCAGCCTCGGCCACGGCCCTGCAGGCGGCGTCGAGGGTGCGCTCCTCCAGGGTGCCGAGGCAGAGTGAGCACACCGGAGTGTCAGCCGCCGCCTCTGCCGACGCCTGGCCATACTCGCCGGCGGTGCGGGTGCCGCTCAACCTCAGCGTGCACAGCTGGCAGGCGGTGCTACCCATCGTGAGACCGCGGGCTGGACGAACCCGCGTGGGCCTTCACAGCCTTGTTATTGAGAAGAATTTAAACAAAAGAACTCTGTCTCAGAGCACACAGGCTCGACACAGGTGCGAACTGGCGCGTGCTAGTACTATCACCGGCACACCACCGGAGCCGCCTAAGCGACTCCGTTAAGAACGGCAATGCACTTAGCACCGTGCACAATGCCGCTGTCCCCGCACGCTAGCTCGTTCACCGTCTGCCACGCCACGGCGGTGTGGAGAACGACAGACAAGCGCTGCATCTGCAGCCCGTGCCAGTTCTTGGTGGTCCATGTGACCTCATCGAGGTGCTGAGCGTGCGAAAGTTTGTTACTCAGCTGGTCCGCCGCCTGGTGTGAAGTGTTTATGTACTGCATCTTTAGTGCACTTTAGCGCAAATTTAGCGCGAATTCAGCGCAAATTTAGCGCGAGTTCACTGCGACTTTACATCCAGATTTAGCGAGGTTTAGTGCGTCTTTAGTCCAGCCGCGCAGTAGGATCCAGCCGCAGCCCCTCGCTGGGCCTCCCTCCCCCTGTCCCCCTGCAGTCCCCTGCCCACTCGCAAAAGTTCCCCGTCCCGTCCCTAACCGAACGAAGGTTGTTCAGCTGAATATCAACCTCCGGTGCTTTCCGGGCTGCTTCTCCGGGCTTACCATTTCGAAAGATCAGCAGACTTGGCTTGACAATAACTATCCGGCTCTTGTGGCGAGGGACGTGCACGCACTAGAGAGGGAGAAGGCAACACGGGACGAGGCCAGGGCCAAGCAAGCCACAGCGCGGCAGGATGGACCGATTCAAAAGATGCAGAAGGGAGATTTATATAAGAAAATCAAGGAGGTCTTCTTTGAGCTGTTGCCATTGCACTTAGGAGGAGGTGCATGGCTGGGGCTGGATCCAACATGCTTGTACGAGTACACGCGTATGTAAAGCTGCTTGCGGTGACTACATGGATCATGGCCATTTGGCCGTTTCTGTCATCGTGGTCTGGATCCTTCATCCTTTGGTTCAACATTGGCTTTGAAATTCCAAGACCGACCCTCGCCTCTACTCTATTACAGCTGGTGGTCACGGGCACAGCATGGGTTGTGCGGTCGGAGGTGGTGCTTGCGGTGGCGCATTCAACTGTGCTGGTCCTCCTCTCGGGAATTGGTGCTGTGCCTGTGCTCAGTTGGGAGATCTTGCTCTGGAGGGCTGCATATCTAGCCTCACTGGGAGCCTGCCTTTGGGTCGTGAGGGCAGGGGCCAGGCATCTCCTGTGGTGCATTCTTGGCAGCCAAGGAGCAAAGCACGCGGCCCTGGCTAGCTGTGGTGTGGCCGGGAAGCCGTGCTAAAGGTGCGTGCCCGCACTAAAGATGCGGGACCCACACTAAATGTACTGCAGCTGCCCGCACCTAAAGCGAACTAAATGTGGCGCTAAATTGGAGATAAAACACACTAAATATGTGCTAAATATGTGCTAAATTTGCGCTAAAGACGCACTACACACGCACTCGAACACACACTAAATAGCGCACTAAACTGTCACTAAAGTTCATTCACACGCACTAAATTTAGACCCAGGCGCCCTCCGGTTGGGCGAGTAGGCCGTGCGGTCAACGCTGCCGCGCGCGACTTTGCGCGCGAGGCGGCGCAGCTTGAGAACGGCGGTGGGCGAGAAGCCGCCGCCGAACGTCTCGTGGAGCAGCAGGTTGAAGTTGTTGCGCTTGACAAAGATCGCGTCGTGGTAGAAACCGCGATGCGCCTTGACGTAGCCGTGGCCGGTCTTGTGGGAGAAGGGTTGGCCGGGCTGCCCGCGCGCCTTGCAGCCCATGTTTAGGCGGCGGGCCTTTTCTTCGGTGTTGCCGAAGGCGTAGGAGTGGCCAACGGAGGCGGGCGTGCCGCCACTCGAGGCGTTGCCAACGCCCGGCGAGGAGGTCTTGAGGAGGGGCGTCCAGAGCTTGACTTCATTCACCTCATCGCATCCTCCCGGTCCCGCATGGGGTTCCGCGAGGTCGACCTTGTACCCCTCGTTGTACTGCCGGGTGAGCTCTGGTTTCTCCTTGTCGCCGTGCACGACCGGCGCGTTGGCCGGGGCGCGCATCGCGTCCGCCCAGGCGGCGAGGACGCCGTCGTGGGGCCGCCGGTGGTGGGCCTTGTTGTAAAGGTAGTCGCCGAAGAAATCGACTGGCATGCCCCGCTCGAGCGCGACCCGAAGGGTGGGAAGCGCCGCGGAGAGCCAAAGGCCGAGCTTTCGCTGGAGCTCGTCTTGGAGGGTGTCGGAGGAGAGGGCGGTGGCGTATACCGGGGCACGATCAGCACCACCAAGTACGGCCTGACGTGCCAAAAGTGGAGCGATCACTCGCCGCACAATCACACGCACATCACGCCAGACACACACCCGGGCACTGGCCTCGGCGACCACAACTACTGCCGCAATCCCGACCGGAGCGAGGGCAGCGCCTGGTGCTACACCACCGACCCGAGCCAGCGCTGGGAGGACTGCGACATCCCGGCACCCGATGCGGAGGTGTGCGCACCAGAGGGGGAGTCTGGCGCCGCGCCGGGCGACGATGAAGGAGACTTTGTTTTTCCGCCGAGCCTCTTCTCCCCGAGCCCCTCCCCCTCGCCACTCCCACCGCCCAAGCCCTCGCCGTTCCCACCGCCACCGACGCCTCCACGGCCACCGTCATACCCTCACAAGACCTTCGTGGAGACGGTGGAGGAGGTGATCGAACAAATGGAGGAGCAGGCAAAGGAGCACCCCGCAGAGGCTGGGGGTGCCGTAACTGGCGTGCTCGTTCTCTCGGCGGCCCTTTGCTGCGGCCTCTGCTACTTGTGCCGCCGCAAGGGGAAGCAGGACCGCAAAATGAACGAGCTGCGGGTGCGCGAGCGCGCCTTCGACGCGGAGATCGCGCGCTCGAGCACGGAGCTCGCCGACGAGAAGGCGATGCAGTGCAAGGCATCGACGGAAAGCGACAACGAGGGAAACGGGGAGCCTGCCACCTGACCCGTAGACCTTTGAGACTGCCTGCTGGAGCTGCAAGCACGCACTTTTGTTGAACCGCACTTTTCGTTTATTCGTCAGCCCTGAGGGTGCGGCGTGGAAGCTGGCACTGCTGCGTACGTGAGGTCACACGTACCGGCGAGGACGGTCGTGGCGGTGATCGGGGTAATACTAAACGCTTGCGCTCTCGTCTCGATATATCTCGAAAACCGCGTTGCGTGCGCGCGTGCCCAGCGCGTCCCCAGCGCCCAGGGTCGCGGCGTCACACGGGCTGACGCGGCGGGGCCAGTGTGCGTGGGGGGGGACGGCGCGACCCCCCAAAACTTAAGTCTTTTCTCTCGTTTACCGTTGACGTATCGTCTCGGTGTTTACTACTCCGCTCGTGCGCCGATTTCCCTCGCGTGCGCCCAAAAGGGGACCAACAGAGCGACTTGGAGAAGCTACTGGTACTGCGGTTTAGTGCCTCAGCAGGGATGTGCTTGGACCTACCCTCGCGTTCGCTGTGACTGGGGCATCAAGCAAACCACGTATAGAAAGCCGTCCGGGTGGGAGCACGCCTCGTACAGCCAAGAGACGGGCGTGTTCAGCTCTACCACCACCCCTTGCACGATTGCAGTCGGCCGCTGCCCCTCGCCGCCGGAGCCCTCGGCGTCGGAAGCCGCTGCAAAGGCGCGTGGCAGTAGCAGAGCTAGAGCGTCGGCGAGCCTGCGGTGGAGCGTGTTGTGACACAACCGACACCCCTGGTCGAGGCGGCGAGGACGTGGACTCGCGTGGTTGGGTCGCCCGAGGGCAGCAGCGGAGCGACGGGCAGCTGCCGCCACTCGCGCTGCGCGACAAAGGCGCGGGTCGGCACAGCGCGCTCGCCGCGGCTGCCGAGCGAGCTGCGGCGGGCAGGGCGAGTGGGTTCAGGGTCGAGGGTTGGGTTTGGGAGGGCAGAACGGGGAAAGGCATGGGTTTGGAAGGGCAGAACGGGGAAAGGCGCTGCTCTGACCGGTGGCAAGCAGCAAGGTCATGGGCCGGGCAGTGGAGTGCCCAGCCCAGGCGCAGTGCCGGGCGCAAAGCATGGGGTGTGTGTGCAGAGGCGGCACGCCAGAGCAAAACAGCCTAGAGCGCTCTCTCGAGCACATCTCGCCTATATCTCGCGCCGGAGCAGAGACGCCTCGAGCGGCGTGCGTGCCTGGCAGTAGACCTGCGCCGATGGCGCGCAGGGGGAGGGGGGGGAGGCTCATCTGGCAGCGGCTGCTGCGGCTCGGCGGCGGGGTTCCTTCTTTTGGAGGCGGGGGCGGTGAGGGTGCGTCGGTTGCGATGATTGCAGTGGCTCGAGCGATGGTGGACGTAGGACTGTGGCTGCGGTGGTGTGCATATGCCCTACCCCCGCACTGCTGTGAACAGGTACCGGACCCGTACTGTGACCTGGTAGCATGTTCGATGCGCGATGCGCGCGCTTGTGCGCGCGCGTACGCACGCAGAGCTCACCTCGTAGGGAGACGAGGCCGGCGCATCCGAAGCACTCGGCTGGCCTTGCTTGCCTGCGGGCGTCTGCTGGCTTGCCGCCTGACCCGCCGCCGCCTGCGATGACACAGGAGATGCGGGAGGCAAGCAGGATGGCGGCGGCAGTGGTGGCGGCGACCCGCCACTCGACGGCGCCGGCGCCGGCGAGCCCGCCTCGATGGGCGACGCACTGCAGAGGGCCTCAAAGATGCGCGCCTGAGGTGTGAGAGGAGAGCGCGGTGAGGCGCGCGACCGCGAGCTCAGCTCTGGCCAACACGGTGTGGGCGTATGCGAAGGCGGGTCTGGCTGCAGACGCGCTGTTTGCGGCGGTGGCGGAAGCGGCGGTGCGCGGTGGGCTAGATGATCGTGAGCAAGGGGGTGGACTCCGACGGCGACCTGAAGGGATCAGTGAAGCTGATGGTCGATGCCGATAGCGCGATCCGCCGATGCGCAGAGGCTTGGCGCGTCGTCGAGCGGACTCAGGTCCATGACTGCGTACAGGGGGCGGTCCAACGTGAGCGATGCTGCAGCGCGCGTCGGTGGGAGCGGCAGAGCGCGGAATGTGAGGTGTCACCCGCCGACTGGGCAGCGGGTGGGCGGCGCACCGGGTTGCGCCGAGCCGCAACGCAGGAACGCAGACTCTTTCAGAGCCGAGCGTACGAGGGCTTTCGCGTCGTCGACCGAGCCGCGCAGCTGGTCCGTCGGCCGCGCCTGGAAGCGAACTGTCAGCTGCCACGGCAGCATATCGCCATTGCCCGGCTGGTCGTCGCCGCTCGTCAGCAGGTCAAAGAGCACGCCCACCGGCACCTGCCACCGCAGCGGCTCGCCGCGGCACTGCATCCACATCGAGCTGGCGCGTGCCATGGGCGGCGCAAAAGGCAGGAAGTGCTCTACCACCTCGCCCGTCACGAGTGGTAGCCAGCTCTGCCGCGGCAGGTTTGCGTGGTAGCACGGCGGCGGTTCCAGCGTCGTCACCTCATCTTGAGCGAGCGAGAAGACTGCCGGAATGCAGCCGGCCCAGGCCAGCTCACGCGCCTCGGCGGCCTCCATTTGGCCCTCCATTTGGGACGGGCTGCTCTTCTTCGCCGCCAAATCCCGGGCGGGCTCGCACTGACACGTTACAGGTACACCACGGCCCGCCAAGCGACCCCGGCGCGCGCGAGCCAGGCAAGCGCAGCCGGATTCTTTCTTTCTGTGCCGTCGTAAGAGGGACCTACCTAGTCCCTACCTACCTACCTACCCAGGGACGTGTTGTGTTCCCCGTCCCAGACCGCGCCTTGGCTTGTTGTTGGCAGATCCTGTTGGCGGCGGCGTGCCTTTTTCCCGGCCCTCCTTCTGCATTTTGTCCCCTTTGTCGCATTTCGCACACCCGCGCGCTCCGCGAGGGCATGAGCCTTCCGCGATTCGATCCCGCAGCCAAAAGCTGCTCGCTCGAACCGCGGCCGACTCTGCCATCGCGGCCGCAGCTGTTGAGCTCTTCGCAGAAGACTGGTGCCTCATATGCTGCCTCCCTGCGGATGCTGCCGGCGAGCCTGGCGGTCCGCTGTACTACAAGGATGTGCTGACTCGATTCTACCTCGAATTCTTCTACCCCCGCGACCCCACGAACGAATGTGACAGGACCATCGGGTCCTTCGGCCACCAAAGCGGGATCACCCGAGAGCAGCTGAGCCTGCCTCTGGCCTCGCCTCCCTCTCCTTCAGGCATTCGTGGCATCCGATGGGTCGCCCAGAGTATCGACCTCTGGCTTGTCAGTCGCGGTCACTTGATGACCCCCATGAAGTACAGCGATCGCCACCTCGCTGGCCTCTTCGCAGGCCCCCCCGACCGCGTCGAACTCATCGGCGCGGGCTCTCTCGGCTACGGGACCGGCCCCAGCTTCGGCTGAGGGCTAACAAGCTGCCGAGCCCAAATCACTGTGAGAGTCGTGATTTCTTGTTGGTCTTTAAAAATCTCTCTCTCTCTCGCGTTCGTGAGGGAGGGAGTTTTATCGCCGTCGCGTTTTTTTCTTACTCCGATGCTAAAATCTTTTTTTCGTCGCCCGCTTTTGTGAATCGTACGTACCACAAATTCTTTTCTGTTGAGTGTCTTCACGCTGGGTTCGGACTTTTTGCGGGGTATGGTACGGTACTCTCACGCAACCCACCTCGAGACCATACCCCCCCCCGCCTGCTGACAGACCCAGCCTCCCGGAGACCGGGGGTGGGCGGTCAGGACCATACCCCCCCACCCTTTGGGTGGCAACCATACCACACCCCGCAAAAAGTTGGAACCCTGCGGGGCTCGGCCATCATTGTGTTGCGTGGGTGGAGATGTCGAAGCGCGAACGAGAGGACCATCGGTACGGGGGCCACGGCGATCGGTATCGCGACAGGTATCGCGATGAGCGCGGCAGCAGCAGTCGGTATCGCAGCAGCAGTCGGCCCCGACACACCGGCTTTGATGGCGTCAGCCGCTCGCACCATCGTGACGGCTACCGCTCCAACGGTGGCGGCTGGGGCAGTAGTGTTGGCGACCGCGGCAGCGGCAGCAGTGGCGGCGGCGGCGGCGGCGGCGGCGGCGGCGGCGGCGGCGGCGGCTGGGGCAGTAGTGGCGGTGGCCGCGGCGGCTGGGGCGATGGCGGCGGCGGTGGAGGCGGCGACCGCGGCAGTGGCGGAGGCGGCGGCCGCGGCAGTGGCGGCGGGAGAAGCGGCAGTCGCTGGGAAGAGCCAGCGGCGGCAGCGCAGCAGCCCGATGGGTCGGACGACGGCTGCTACTCTCCGGGCGCGTCTGACGGGGAGACGGACCCCAACCCGCTCGAGACGCTCAAGCCAGCCCTTTGCAAGTATGTCGCCGCGAGTTCGCAGAGCCGGCAACAGCAGCCGATCCTGTGCCCGCTCACAGCGCGAGGCCTCCCAAAGCTCGAGGAGTTTCTGGGCAAGCGGTACCAGCCGATGGCCAAGGCACTCGGCTGGCCCGAGCACCCCTCGAACGCGCAGAGGTGCATGGAGGGGCACGCCCCTTGCAGATCCGCACCGTGCGCCCACTGGGGCGCGCTCCAGCAGCACGCCGACAAGGTGGGCGGCGTGACGAACAAGCAGCAGCGCGTCTCGGACGCCGCCGCCGCCGCCGCCGACGACGACGACGACGACGACGACGACTTCTCCAAGCGCGCGCGGGACGGCCACATTATGCTGGCGCGCATCATGCGTGAGCGCCGCGATGCGCCGGTGCAGCGGTTCGGCGCAAAGGTGGACGCGCATGCGTTCGACGCCACCGTTCCCTGGCCGCCGCTGCTGCATATCAGCGGCCTGCCGGAGAAACTCAACTCGTCGAACCTGCTGCTGCAGAGCTTCGGGAAGCAAGGCGTCAAGGACGCGCACCCGATCTACCTGGGGCCCGTTAAAGGGCGGGCCGTCCTCGTCTTCGAGAAGGACCACTCCGGCTGGGAGAGGGCGAAGGCTTTCCTCGATACGTGCGGCATGGAGCGGGACGAGGTGGTGCGCCTGCGCGGTGAGGGCAAGACCGAGGAGGCGGCGGCGAAGGAGAAGGCGCGGATCAAGTCGGAGTGGGTGCAGGAGCACGTGTACAACGGGTGGAAGAACGAGCAGTGGGCGAAGAAGAAGCTGTTCCGCACGGTGGTGGTCTTCCGGAGGAAGAACGAGCTCGAGCAGGAGGTGGCGGAGGCGAAGAGGATGCAGAAGGAGGAGCAGGACCGGCTCCTGCTGCGCTCCGTGCAGGAGGCGGAGAAGCTCAAGGAGCAGCTGACTGCGCAGAAGGAGGAGGAGGCGGCCAAGGCGAAGCAGGCAGAGGATGAGCTTGCTGAGCGGTGCTCGCTGTGTAGATGCCACTGCCAGCCCCTGTGCAGCCCCTCCGGTCTCCTCTCCGCTAGCACTGAGCGCTCGCGTACACCGTGTGCACACCCTGCAGGAAGGCGAGAGAGGAGCAGGAGAGGCAAAAGGTCGCGGCGCTTGACGCGCAGCTGGCGGAGCTCCAAGAGGAGCGCGAGGTTTCGCGGCGGCAGCAGGAGGAGCAGCGCGCGAAGCAGGTCGAGAAGGACAAGGAGCTCGACGAGGTGCGCGCGGCGCAGCGCGTGGCCGAGGAGCGGCTGCGCCGGCTCGAGGAGGACCTGCGCGTCAAGAGCCGGGAGGCGCGCGAGGCGGAGGAACGCGACGCTAGATGCTCGACACGCACCTGCTGTAGCCGACGTGACGATCCCCACGCCCACTGCACTCACTGCATTGCTATTATGCGCCGCCACGCCCCCCCCCTCCCCCCCTCCCCTGGCTCCTGCCGGTGCGAAAGGCCTGTCCGGCCCGACCAGAGAGGGGGTCTGCGTGGGGTAGGTGTGGTTTCTAGCGGCGCGGCTCTGGGCAGTCCCTGGACAAGTGCCTATTCACGTTCACCCTGCGTCTGCGCGCAGGAGAACCTCGATCTCGTCTGCGCGAGCCTGAACCAAAAGGAGGCGGCGCTGAAGGAGTCGGGCGCCTCGTCCGAGACCGCGCGGCAGGAGGAGGAGATCCGGGAGTTGAAGAGCTTCCAGGCCAAGCTGGAGCAGGACAAGCGCGAGGCGGAGGACAAGGCTGCGGAGGCGAAGAAAGCGGCTGCGGCGGCGAAGACGGCGGCAGAGAACCAGAGCAGTGTGGAGAAAACAACCTTGGAAGGCATGGCGAGCGAGATGCAGCTCCTCGAGGATGGCGTGAGCTTCGCGGACAAGGAGCTCCGCCGCGGCGATAATCCCGAGCGGCTTGAGCGGACTGGGAAGTTCGTCGATCGGAAGGTGAGACAGCCCCGGATTTGCCAAAATCGCCGGACTAGTCTGTGAAGACGCTGGTTACCTTTTTCGTAGGTGGGCGAGCTCGACCTTGACGTGCTGAAGAAGTGCGGCATGAAGCTGAAGATGACGGACTACGACGCACACGGGAACCCTGTCCACCTCGATTTGTGGGTGGCCAACTGGCAGTGCGCAATCTCTGGCGCCGAGCCAGCTTACTACGACTTGCCCTCTACCTACCCCGCCTTCAAGCCGTCTGACGCCTTCCGTTCTTTCCAGGGCAAGTTTGTCACCGTGCGTGAGGAGGACGAAGTCATCCCCGGGCGGAGCCTGCGAATGCCGGGCCTTGGGGGCCGTGCCGTCCAGACCCCAGACACGGTCTGCAGCGCGGCCTTTGTGAAGGACATCCGGCGCCGCTACCCGAAGGGCGCGGACCGCATTCTTCGCCACATCATGACGACGTGCAACCTGATTCGGGACTGCAAGGCTGCCAGCGGCTACAGCATTCCGCGTGTCCTTTGGGACACGGAGAGGGACGCGCCCATGCGACTGGAGGACAAAATCCGTTACCTCATAGAATTCTCGCGGGCGGGCGGATCTGCTTAGTTGGAGGACCGTTCAGCGGGGATAGTCTAGATCTCCCGGCGCTCTCTCTCTTGCCTCTTTCGCTGGTCTGATACGTTTGCAGTGTTGGAGAAGAGAGAGGCAGCTGAGGGCGTTTTGAGGAGCCGTGCATGTACTGAAGCTGGTCCGGCGCTGCGTGTGAAGTCGATGTGTGGGATTCGGATTGGTTTGTACTTTGTTTATTGTGTCCCTGTGGCCTGTGTAAATAAATAAATAAATAAAACGGGACACCTACTGTGTCTGTGAGGTGGGTAAAAAGGAACAGGTCCCCGCCCTTGCGATCTTTGTGCAGGGTTCTTTGTGGGTGCGTGCGGTCGGCGACGGCTTGTACTCTACTACGGACTACGCCGGGGTCTTCTCTGGTAGGACGGGAACGAGATGATAGTAGGGAGTAGAAGAAAGCAAAGAGGAGCAGGGCGCACTCACGACTCCGCAGGAGAAGCCCCTCCCCCCAGACAAAACACAAGGGAGAGGTGGGTGGGTCACAGAGAACTGCGGCCGCCAGCGACTGAGCCAGTCTCGCTGGCGGACGGGGGAGAACACAACGAAGGGCCGTCCGAAACACAATCACTAAGAAGGGACGTACGGACGTCCATCACTGGGATGAGATCGGGAGATATGTCTGCCGAATATCTCCCGACTCTACAGCCGCCCACAGGAGCGCCGCCTCAACACGGGGTCTCGGCTCTATCGAGCCATGCTAGCTCCAGCCGCAGCCCCACCCGGCCGCCCGAGGGTGTTCCCGCAGGCAGAGAAGAGAATCGTGATCTCTTCCTTCTGGTACGGGACCCCTCGATCGTCTCGCCCCCCCTCACTGGTATGTTCATTGGGGGGGGTCATAACAAACACGGTGCAGGATTGAGGTGCACGCTGCCGAAGCAGTGTCGTCCCCTCTCTCCCCGACGGCGATGGCGGTGTGACCGATCGAGCTACAAGAGGGACTTGTTCAGCAGGATCCGGGTTAGACTGGCGCACTACCTCACTGGGCCTGAGACCGCCGTGCGCTTCCCGTCACCGTCTCGGGTTTGTGTGGGATCGAACCACTCCGGGATGGGCAAGCCCATCGTTCTGACTTGCGCCTTTCCTCCACCTGCAGGAGAAAGCAGGGGGTGTGCCATCAACTGGTTAATTGTCAAAATTCCTGTTGTGCAAGAGGGGAGGGGACTCTGACGGAGTGTGTGGCGGGAGAGGGCAGGGAATGGGCGCGGGGGATGGGGGGGGGGGGGGCTCAGCCGTGCAAAAAGCATCAATTAATAATAGTAGTGAAGAAATAATGCTCGGCCGTTCATGAAGTCCGTCTCGATCTGGAGGAGACGGGTCAACCCCGTGAGGACCAGATCAGGTTCACATTGTCGTAGCCGGAGGTGATGTTGACCTTTAGCTCTTGGGGCCACATTTCCGCTTTGGTTTTTTTCCCACTGACCACTCGGGCAACTTTTACCAAATGCAAAAGTTGCACCTTACCATTCGGGCAAATTCGATTGCATTTTACCACTCGGGCAAACTCGATGAAACGGGCGGACGGAAGACGCATCTCTTTAGTGCACTTTATAGCGCGAAACTTGGCGTAATACCTCACATCGTGACGGCGATCACCCGGCACGGAGGGCACATCGGCTACACGGCGGGCGCGACGCCGCTGCTCGGCGCGTGGACCGACCGCGTCCTCGTGCACTACTTGCGCGCCATCCTCGCGAGGGAGGAGGAGCGGGAGGCAGGGGCGCGAGCGGGGGGAGATGAGCGGCAGCGGGTGCAGGAGACTGCCCACGCTGTATGTACGAGCACAGCAAGCTGTGAGATCCGTCTTCTTCCAGAGCTAATTTATGAAGCGTTTTCGACAGCGACGTGTGTGATTTCTTTCCCTCAGTCGTAACATTCTTTTTCTCGCGATGTCTGCTCCGCTCGCAACGCCATGGTGCATGGAAAAAAGAGAAATTTCATCGGAGAAAATCAAAGAATAAAGAAGGTCTTTTTCGAGTCCCAAAAGTCGCTCTAAAAAGAACCCACACGCCGATCTTTGTCTCTGTCACGCGTCGCCGACAGCCACACACACATGGGGCTTTTCCTCTCCAGGCAGTTCATGCCTGTCCACATCAGTGAGTTCACGCTCCCCACGGACGATGGCGCCCCGGGAGCCTTCGCGTACCGCAAAGTAGCTGCGAGCGAATCTGTGAGCCAGGCCCGTGACCACGAGGAGGACGAGGAGGCGGCGCGCTTTGCAGAGGCAATCAAGTCAGAGTGCAGCTGCACTTGGAAGGATGTGCGAAACTTTGCATCATTCGTCGCATGCGTCCTTCTCTCTGTCTCCCTACTTATGGTCGTGGGAAAGTTCATTCACGACGGCACCGACATCCACGAGTCCCGCACTGCGGAGGGCGTCCGGCACTCCGGCTCCGCAGTGCGGGCGGCGCACCTCGTGGTGCACCCGGAGATCCAAGGCGCTGTGGCGCTCGCGTCGACTTTAGCCGTGAAGAAAATCGCTCTCGTCATGTTCTACACGCCTTGGTGCCAGCATTCCCACGCGCTCCTGTCTGAGTGGGCGGCGGCGCGCCACAACATCATGCACAGCGGCCTGGCCCCTGGCCACGCCGATGCGCTGATGGTCAAGGTTGACTGCTCGAGTTTTGCCGACCTGTGTGAGTTTGTGGGCATAAAGGGCTACCCGACCGTGCTTGTGTACACAGACGAGACGGGCTACCTGAGCAAGTATGTTGGAGCTCGCACGAGGCTGGGCTTCCAGGCATTCATTGCCGACAATGTGCCCAAGGCCAACGCACGCGCCAACGTTGCCGGCTACGATGAGAGCTACGACGAGCCATGTGAGCCCTTGCGCGCAGTCGCCTCCCATCCCGCCCCCCGTCTGACGCGCCGCACACCGTTGCATAGACTCGTACAATGTGCCCAAGGCCAAGAGGAGGCCGGACGTGTCGCTTCTTCGCCGCCTGAAAAGGCGCGCCCGCCGCGTGGTCGACTCGCCGGCCGTGGCTGAGCTGCCTCCTCCGCTTTCGCCTGCTCCCCGCCCTCTGCCCTCTCTTGGCGCACCGGCGAGCGTGCAGTACTCTGTGAGGGTCCCCAAGGGCATCACCAGCGGACAGCGGCTCAAGGCGCGCCTTGAACCATGCCGCCGCAGCTCCCCTCGCCCCTCCCGACTGCCGCCCCCAGCGCCGCCCCTCCACTACCGCCCTCCACCCCGCCCCTCACCCCTCTCTCAGGTGCCCCTCCCCGGCGGCGACTCCCTCTTCGCCACCGTCCCAGACGGGCTGGCGGAGGGCGACTCCTTCCTTGTGGAGAATGGAGGCCCTGCCCGCAAAGGCCGCAGCGCCCCAGTCGCTCCTTTTACGGTCGAGGAGATGGAGTACACTTGGTCCTTCGGGGGCTTCTGGGACTCGTCGACGTACATCGATGGCAAGCTCTACTCGCCCGTCTTCACGAGCGGCCAGTACAACTGGAGCGCCCAGCGTCAAGCGCCTTCTGCTCCGCCGCCGACGCTGCCTCTGCCTTGGCGGCTGATAGCACTGCCGCCGACTCCGCCTTATCGACGCCGTCGGTGGTGGTGCCGCACTTGGAGCAGCGCTTGGCGTCCATGCCCAGCGCGCGGGAGCAGCGCGGGCAGCGGAAGGCCTCGCCCTGGACGACTGGTGTGTCCCCTTCAGCCAGCTCATTTACCGCGGCCTTGAAGCCGCCCAACTTGCTGCTCGCCGCTTCTTTGGCGCTCGAGTAAAGATCGCTCGCCTTCTTCTTCATCGACTGCAGCGTGGAAGCTTCTTCCCCAAGATCGTGTACGACCTTCGCCTTCCCGGCCGCCGCTGCCACCGCCTCCTCCGGCGCTTTGCCCTTGTGGATCGCATCCTTCGCCGCCTCGACCGCCGCCTTGGCCGCCTCGGGCGAGAGGCCCGCCTCGAGTGCTTTCTGCTCCACCGCAGACGCTACCTCCGCCTTGGCGGCCGACAGCCGAGCCGCCGACTCCGCCTTGTCGACGCCGTCGGTGGTGGTGCCGCACTTGGAGCAGCGCTTGGCTCCGACGTTTAGGGCGCGGGAGCAGCGTGGGCACTGGAAGAGCTGTTCCTCAGGCGAACCGAGCTCGCGCGTCAGGGAGTCGTGCGCGGCCTGTGCCATCTCCACCGCTGCCGTCACCGCCGCCTCCGGCGTCTTACCCTTGTGAATCGCATCCTTCGCCGCGTCAACCGCCGCCTTGGCCGCCTCCGGATGAAGGCCTGCGTCCAGCGCCTTTCGTTCTGCTGAAGCCACTACCTCCGCCTTGGCGGCCGACAGCCGGGCCGCCGACTCCGCCTTGTCGACGCCGTAGGTGGTGCTGCCGCACTTGGAACAGCGCTTGGCATTCATGCCCAGCGCGCGGGAGCAGCGCGGGCACTGGAAAAGACGCTGCTCTTGCGCCTCCGGCGAACCGAGCTCGCGCGTCACGGAGGCGTGTACGACCTTCGCCTTCCCGGCCGCCGCTGCCACCGCCTCCTCCGGCGCCTTGCCCTTGTGGATCGCATCCTTCGCCGCCTCGACCGCCGCCTTGGCCGCCTCGGGCGAGAGGCCCGCCTCGAGCGCTTTCTGCTCCGCCGCAGACGCTACCTCCGCCTTGGCGGCCGACAGCCGAGCCGCCGATTCCATCTTATCAACGCCGTCGGTGGTGGTGCCGCACTTGGAGCAGCGCTTGGCGTCCATGCCCAGCACGCGGGAGCAGCGCGGGCACTGGAACGCCTGGGTGTCCACGTCCGCCAGATCCAGCTGGACTGCATCGCGGGCCGTGCTGCCCGCTGCAACTCCGTTCGCAGCCACTTCAAGCGGTGCACCAGCAGGAAAGGGTTGCGCAACCGTCTTGCGAGTCGCACCCAGGTTCTTCAGCTGCGCGTCGAGACGCCGCGGCGTGGACACTGCCTGCGCCGCCTTGTTCTCCTCTCCAGGCGCGCCCCCGCCGGCACCGGCACCGGCACCTCCGCCCGCAACAGCTTCAACTGGTGTGCTGGCTGCCACGGACTCGGCTGCCGTTCTGCGAGCTGCACCCAAGCTTTTAAGCTGTGCGTCGAGGCGCCGTGGCGTCGACACTGCCGGCGCCGCCTTGCTTGCCGCTTCGGGCATGGCTCCACTTGCGTCGCCGGCCGCAGCAGACGATTCCAGCTCAGCTCCACCGACCTTGCCAGCGCGGAAACGCGGCCCCTCTGCCTTTGTGGCGCTGGCAGGCAGCGTTCCGTCGTCATCAGGCGCCCTCACTTGCGCCACTTTCAAAGCGGCAGCTTCACCTGCTGCCTTGGCTGCTTCAGGCGAAAGGCCTGCGTCAAGAGCGTCCTTTGCTGCTCTTGCTGCCGCAGCGCCCTCCTGTGCCGCCGCCGCCGAATTGCGCCCGAGCTGCTTTGCTGTTGCTCGCGCCCGGGCTGTTACTTCACTTGCAATCTCCGCCGCCTCGGCGGAGCAAATTCCTTTGGTGATTGCATGCTGCGCTGCTTTGGCTGCCGCCTCCGCCTCGCTGGCGCACCAGGCATCATCCATGCCCAAGTTGCTGGCGACATCCGCTGCAGCGCCTGCCGCCTTTGCCGCCTCGACCGAGATGCCAGCACGGAGTGCGTCTTCCACCGCTCTGGCGCTGGCTCTGCTTACGCGCATCACGGCCGCGATAGCAGACGGCTCGCGGTCCTGTTGCCAGGCTCAGGCCGGATGTTTGGACGCACGTCAAAAATTGGGCTTGTGTTGTAATTCCACCTGATGAGCATCCGTTTCGCGGATGAGTGAGCTCGAAATAGCTGCGCGGCAACGCTTCAGTGTACTCTTGAGCACTTGAGCACTGGATAGGGTCGTTCCGCGTGGTACGGGACCCCTCGATCGTCTCGCCCTCCCTCACCGGAGTGAGTGTTCATTGGGGGGGTCATAACAAACACGGACGGTACAGGATCGAGGTGCACGCTGCCGAAGCAGTGTCGCCCCCCCTCTCCTCGACGGTGATGGTGGTGTGACCGATCGAGCTACAAGAGGAGCTTGTTCAGCAGGATCCGGGCAAGTGCACTCTTAGCTTACTGGGAGAAAGGGGAGAGGGGGGGGGGGGGGGCTCTAGGCCCCTAAAGGCCCTACCTACGCGCGGCGTGAGTGAGAGCTCGGAGGCGAGCTATGCACGGCGATCGAGGATGGCGCGGTTCACCCCCTTCTCCGAAGCGACGGAGATGCGTTCCGCGTGGTGTGACACAAATCTCTCTCTCAGTGTTTAAGTAATATGTATTTTTAGCTTAATGGGAGAGAGAGAGAGAGAAAATGGGAGAAAGGGGAGAGGCTCCAAGTACTCCAAGTGCTCCGTCTCTCTCTCTCTCTCTCTCAGTGTATGTGTGTGGCTCTACGAACGACGACGACGACGACGCTGCCTGCGGCAACGGGCAACGGCAAGCAGCAGCGGCGGTTCGCGCCGCCGCCTAACCTTTATTGGAGCCAGCCCCCCTGTGCGCGATGTGGCCGATCGTTGCGTGCTTTTGCGTCGTGTGGTGTGACTGGTGTGTCTCGGGCCTTTAATTACACATGCACATGCACATGCACACGTACACGTGCATCGAACATTCACGGAAGTGCTATCCTCTCCAGGACCAGTGTGCTCTTTCGTCTTTGGACTAGAGCTTGGTGCGCGGAGACTAAAGCCGTACTGCGGAGTTAGACTCGCAGGCACGAGGATGTGTATTGTGTATACGTACGCACGTAGAAAGAACCTTGCACAAAAAATCGCACGGGCCGGCGCGGCGTCTAGAGCCGCCACACGTCTCGCTTGTCTATACTGGCGCCTCTTCCTCCGCGAGCGCGCCGAGGTGCCGTCGAACCGCGCGGCAGAGCGCATTGACGTTATAGCCGCCCTCCAGAACGCTGATGATGGGCACCGCGCCGCCGCTGCCAACCGCCGCCACCATCGCCGCCGTGACCTACCGGTTGATTGGCACGTCGTGCACGGGAGCCGACGCTACGGGCGGGCGGACTACGCGGCCCGCAGCGTTGCACCCACGCAAAATCGTCGTCGTTGCACGAGAGGCCCGCGAGCGGGTCCTCCGCGTGCGCGTCGAAGCCCGCGCTGATGAAGACCTATAGCCCGGGCGCGGATCTCCGAGTGAGCCCACGGACGGCCTCGGCGCGCCGGGGGGGAGCGCCCATGCAACGACCGCGTCGGGCGCAAAGCTGCAGACCGCGGGCAGCAGCGTCTCGCGCCACGCGCTGCGGAACTCCGCCGAGCCGGAGCCCGGGGGCAGCGGGCAGTTTACGATGCCTCCGTGGCGGCCCGCGCGCCCGGCGGCGGCGCCTATCCAAAGCGACGGAGGCGGCGGTCGCGCCCCGTACGGCGTGCTGCGCGTGGTGCCGGAGTGCGATCGCCTGTCCCGGGGTAGCACGGCGACTGGTGGCTCGAGGCGTACAGCACGTCCGGGTCGGACCAGGCGCATGCGGCGTCGCCGTTCCCGTGGTGCACGTCAAAATCGAGGACGGCGATGCGCTGCACCTGCGGCGTTGGGAGCGTGCCTGTCGAGCATCGACCCATCCTAGGTATGCAGGTCTGAGGTGGGGCGAGGCGAGGCGAGGTGAGGTGAGGTGAGGTAGCCGAGGCGGGCTTAGAGGCGAGGCGAGGCGAGGCGAGGCGAGGCGAGGCGAGGCGAGGCGAGGCGAGGCGAGGCGAGGCGAGGCGAGGCGAGGCGAGGCGAGGCGAGGCGAGGCGAGGCGAGGGCGAGGCACGTCGTGCGCGACGCGCGCGTGTGCGACGCCAACCATGACGTTGTTGAACACGCAGAAGCCCATCGGCCGCTCTGGCTCGGCGTGGTGGCCGGGAGGCCGCACCATCACAAAGGCGCGCCTGGGCTCGCCGGCTGCCTGCGCGCCGCCCATGCCCATGCACATGTACATGTACATGTCGTCGACAGCGGCGACCACCAGCCCTGCCGCTCGCGCGGCGGCAGCACCCGTGCCAGGGCTTGCGATGGTGTCCCCATCGATAACCATCGGGAGTCGGAATCGCTTGGCACGCGTGCAGGCGTCGCTCACGCGCCGAATATGGGCCTCCGAGTGCACCCGAAGCAGCTGCTCGCTCGTGACGTCAGCTTCGGGCTGGCGAACGCTCAGATTCTCCCCGAGCTCACGCACCCAGCCACGCATCGCAGCAAGCAGCCCCTCGAGACGTGCGGGCGACTCTGGATGGCCACCGAACCGGAGGAGCCCAGGGTCGTGCTGGAGGCAGACGGGCGACGTGTAGAGTGCCACCGGGCGCAGAGTCGAGGCGCCATTGAGGGTGGTTAGCGTGAGCAGCAAACGGAGGCGTCCCGGCATGGCAGAGGTCGGAAGCGAGTGGCTCCTCGCGTTCACTTAGACTTGTTTGGTATTGTCAGCGGGTCGTCGCGGGCGCAGCCGCCATCGGCAAAACAAACACAACACCCAGTACAGCCACACCGAACGTACCGAGCGAAGAGCCGAGCGGAAGGAGGACGGGGAAGATGACTCCGAGGAGGACGAACCAGTGGAAATCCAGTTGTCAGATGTCACGATGCATCCGAAGGGGACCCCAGCGCCGGCATCATCCGTAGAGGCACGAGTGTTCGAAGAGAGAGTGGACCTGAGCAACAACATGACCTGTAGGCAAATGATCGGAGTGGGAGTCAGAAATGTGGTCCTTGCGCGAGGGGAGCTCGATAGACTCGAGGGGCTAGGATACGCCGCGAGGAGGACGGAGTTGCGCCGAAAGGCGAAGGTATTGCTAAAAAGGCGAAAGAAGCCGCGAGAACAAGGGACCGGCAGGCGGCGGCGTCGCAGGACGAGGCAGAAGAGAACGACGCGACAGAGGAGGAAGTGACAAGGGAGAGAACGACGAGGGTGGGACGACCGCGAGGTGGCATGAAGGTTGCAGCGAGAATCGGCGAGAGACTGCGAAGAGAGATAGGAAGAGGCAGACTCCCTAGGGTGGGCGACGGATAGCGCACCACACACCTCTCCTTAAAATCCCTGTGTGGTGGCGGCGTGCCGTCCTCCCATCCCTCCCTTGGGTTGTCTGTTTTCTTTCTTTCTTTCTTTCTCTCTCTCTCTCTCTCCCATCGGCCCGTGCCACGAGAACGACGCTTTGAATCGTTTTCTAAAAGAAAGAAAAACACGCGGACCAAGAGAGGGATCGGATCTGGACAAATTCTTTTTCTCGCGATGTCCACCCCGCAAACTGGCAAACAAGGAAGGAGCTAGTGTGATTTCTTGTTGGTTTTCTAAAATCTCTCTCTCAAACAAGGTCCTTCGCGTCAGAGAGGGTCCTTCGCGTCAGAGAGAGCTTTAAAAAAAGAAATTCGCGCTCTGCGACTTCCTCCCGCTGCACCCGGCTCCCATCCCTCCCTGCAATTGTGTTTTCTTTCTTTCTTTCTGCACCCGGCTCCCGCTTCCAGGTAAAACCCCCCGAAGCCTCAGCTCTCCAACACGTCATGCTCTCGCTCCTCGCCCCGCTCGTCCACGCCGACTCGGCACCGCAGGACTGCCCTGCGGCGGCGCCGCGCGTGCCGGTCGCCGACTCGGAGGCGGTCGGCGCAGCACTCTCAACTCGCGGCTTCGTCGTGCTCACGAACCTCACAGAGGAGGGCGCGGCCGCCGACTGGGGCGCGGTGGCGCTCGGCCTGCCCGAGCGCGTCTTCCCCGGCCGGCTGCTCTCCTCGGGCTCCAACACGCTGCACGCAGTCCACGAGGAGAATGCAAAGGTGTCGGACCAGTATGCGTCCCAGTGCCGCGAGAGCCCGGAGGGGTGCGAGGCGTGGTCGTCGAACTTCACCACCGCGGGAGCGCCGCTGCTGCCTCATACGGACGGCTACGTGTACGGCGACCACATGCCGGACGTGATCTTCCTCGTCGCCGAAGCGCCCGCCGAGCGCGGCGGCGAGAACTTCGTCGTTGACGGCGAGGCGGTGCTCGTGCGGCTCGAAGCCGACGCGGCGACCGCGCCGCTGGTGGGCGCCGCGCAGACGGCGAGGGTCGACCTCACCGAGCGGGTGAGCTCAGGGGGCATAGCCACCGGCCGCGAGGCTTTTGGTCCCATCTTCCGGCGGCGCTCAGACGGCGGCGTCTGGTGGCGGCGGCAGCTACAGACGCGGGCGTACGAGAGCGGGATCGAGCAGCCCGCCGACGGCGCGCCCAGCTCGGTCCGCGCGGAGCTGCAGCCGTACCAGTCGCTGTGGAGGCCCGCGGGCGCCGTGCACGAGGCGGAGCAGACAGAGGCGATGCTCGAGGCGGTGGACGCTGCCATCCAGAGGGAGGCCGGCGCGGCGGAGCGCTTCTCGCTGCGGCGAGGCGAGGCGCTGCTCATCAACAACTACCGCGTGCTGCACGGGCGCGAGGGCTACACCTCGCGCGGCCGCGACGGCCGCAAGGTGTGGCGCGTCTGGTGTTGGACCGACCGCAGCCTCGGCTTGCCTGAGGGCATGGCCGAGGTGGGCTCACCCTTTGATGCGGACGCGCTGCTCGACTGAGGCGAGTCAGTTGCGGACGGCGAGGTGTGTGTGGAGACTCTAGAGTGCACAATCTCTCCCGCCCGCGCGCTCATCTTGTGATTTTGGCGCGCGCGCCCTCTCTGTACTCAGATGGTTGTAGCTCGGCATGCGTGGGCGGACGGCGGAGGCGGAGGCATGGGGCCGACATTAGAGGATCCCTTAGATCGATCTTCACAACACGGCCTATAGATACTGACTCGCTATCTGTCTGGTATAGCCCCAGCCGACTCCGCAGGTGAACCCTCGAGGGATCTCGCGTTGTACGAACTCTGTTCACAGCCTTGTTATTGAGAAGAAAATACCTCCTATGGCGCTGTGCGCTGGCCTGTGAGAGGTTGAGGTGCGAGCCCTGGAGGCCCTGGGGATGGGGGGGGACTACCCGCGGGCTTAGAAGGCCCGCGCGCAGGGGGGTGGGGCATTGAGACCGGTCATGAATGAGTGCGCGACACGCATGTTGCGAGCAGCGTTGTTGATGTTTTGCGCATCGCCACTGACGGCGGCGCGCGAGAGCTGTTGCGAGTGGTGTTGGGCGAAGCCCCGGGCGCTGCCTTCACACCGAGCAGCTGGGAGTGGCTGCAAGAGGCAGACAGACTCGCTAGAGCTCTATCAGTGGTGTGTTTTCCGTCACCACCGTACGAAAAATGGCCACGCCATCGGTCCCCTACATCGGCTCTCGCATCGTCCTCATCTCCAAGAGCGAGATCAGGCGCGCGCTCGTGCGCGCGGCGCGCCTCCTCTCTCTCCAGCGGCGACTGCGTGTCGCAGCCGCTCTGCGCAGCGCGAGGTCTCGCCCCCTCCGCTCTGCAGGTACGAGGGCACGCTCGGCTCGGTCGACACGGCCGCCTCGACTGTCAAGCTGCACCAGGTACGCTCTTTTGGCACGGAAGACCGCAAGACCGAGGGCGTCATCCCAGCGTCGTCGCAGGTGCGCAGCGCCCAGAGGCGCTCCTCTCTGCACGCCGCCACCAACGCGCCACCTCGCCGCGCCCCTCCCGCGCCACGCGCAGATTTACGAGTATATCATCTTTCGCGGCGCCGACATCAAGGATCTGCATGTGTGCGAGTCGACCGCCTCGCAGCCCGCGGCCGCCACGTCGGTCACGTCTGCGGCACCCGAGCAAGCGCCAGAGGCGCTGCCTCCGAGGCCGGCGGCAGCGGCCTCGGAGGCAGCGCCGGCGTGGGGCGCCAACCCGTCGCAGGCCAGCGCCGCGGCGCCGGCGCCGGCGGCTCCTCGCACCCAGGGCCAGAACAAGGCCCGCGGCGGCCGAGCGCAGCCGGGCATGCCGCGCCCGGCGCCGAATGGCTCTGCAAACGGCCATGCGGAGGAGTTTGATATCCAGGCCATGCTCGCGGGCTTCGACAAGGTGCGCGCCGGCGTCATGCGCCCCCCCCCCTCCCGCGCCGGCTCAAGCCGTCCCTTGCCCCCCGCCGCCACCAGGGGATGGTGATGCAGGAGGCGAGCGAGCGCGTCAAGACGACGACCGCGTACAACCCAAAGGTCTCCATGTTCGACACGCTCGACGAGGAGGTTGCAGAGGAGGGCGGCCGCAAGGGCGGCCGCGCGTTCCGCGCGGAGATGCGCAAGAACGACATCAGTACGTTTGGGGAAGACATGATCAAGGAGGCGGACCGGCGCGCGAGGGTAAAGGGCAGCGGGCGTGGGCGCGGGCGCGGCGGCGGCGGCAAGGGCGGCGGCGGCGGCAAGGGCGAGCGCAGGGGGCGCGGCAAGGGCGGCGAGGGTGGCAGCAAGGGCGGCGGCGGCGACCGGCGCCGCGAGGGCGGGCGGGGTGGGCGGGGCGACGGCGGCGGGCGCGGGCGGGGGCCAAGGGGGGGGGGGGGGGCCCGGTTCCCGGTTGGGGTCCGTAACCTCGGGATTTTTCCTCCGGCATGGGCAGCGGACTTCCCTCGGGGGAGGGGAGTCTCCCCGTCCCGACTGGGGAGTCCCCCCCCCCCCCCCCCCTCCCCCCCCTCCGCTCTGGGTGGGTGGGGCTTTCTATGGATCGCTTCGCTCACTCGATGTGGTCTCGCACTTTCTCTCACTGTGCCGACCCGGCATTTCGCGGGGCGGGGAGGGGGGTCTCTCTCGGAGCCTGAGGCCGCGATACAGCAGCGGTGGAGAGCGCTCGTGGAGCGCTTGCGCTCTAGCCTATCGTTGTCGCCAGGGCGGCGGCGGTGGGGGGAGGGGGCCGTCGCCAGGCCTGGGCGCTGGGGCACGTCCCGGCGCACGTGTGCAGCTAGTGCTGCCGTACATAGTGGATTTCTCAAATGTTCATGTCCTCCAACATGTCAAATTCCGCCCTGATCCTACCCGACTGCCCACGCCCCGTTCGCGGGCGCCTTCGCCTCTCCATCTGGCATCTCGCGACTGCTCCGCGACCGGTCTTACTGATACTCTACTTTACGGCCGTCTCCTACCCGCATCTCCGCGGCGCTCTCCGCTCCCGACTCGCCCGTGGCCGTGCTACGACTCGCCGACGCCGTGGCCGCGCGGCGGCGCTTCGCCACCGGCATCGCAGCGTGGCGGGCGAGGACACCGCACGCACGCCGGGCGCGAGAGTGTTGTCCTCCCTTCCCCGCCCCTCCTCCAGCGGCGGCGGCGCTGCCGGCAGCAGTACTGGAGCTGCCGCCGCCGCAGCGTGGCTCGCCGCGGGCGTTGTCGTGGCCGCATAGCGCGCATACCCACGGCGCGGCACCCGCGAGGCAGAGGTCGCAGTCGCAGTCGAAGAAGAAGTGCCTGTGGGGAGCGGTGCACGGCGTCGCGAGCGATAGGAGGGAGTGGGAGGGCTCGGGATGGATGCCACCGCGGTCTCCCGGCTGCACTCGGCCACATCTCCGCTACATCTCAGGCCTGCGCAGCCTGGCGCGTCGCGTCGCCGCCGGCTGCCGAGGGTCGGTGTACGTGATTCGCAGCTCGTCGCCAGCAGGCACCTGCCCGAGGTGCAGCCGAGGTGCAGCCGAGGTGCAGCCGAGGTGCAGCCGAGGTGCAGCCGAGGTGCAGCCGAGGTGCAGCCGAGGTGCAGCCGAGGTGCAGCCGAGGTGCAGCCGAGGTGCAGCCGAGGTGCAGCCGAGGTGCAGCCGAGGTGCAGCCGAGGTGCAGCCGAGGTGCAGCCGAGGTGCAGCCGAGGTGCAGCCGAGGTGCAGCCGAGGTGCAGCCGAGGTGCAGCCGAGGTGCAGCCGAGGTGCAGCCGAGGTGCAGCCGAGGTGCAGCCGAGGTGCAGCCGAGGTGCAGCCGAACCGAGAGCAGCAGCCGAGAACGAGCCGCGATCGAGCCGAGATCGAGCCGCGATCGAGCCGAGATCGAGCCGAGATCGAGCCGAGATCGAGCCGAGGTGTGGCCGCACCTCCGCAGTGGTTACCACGCGCAGGCAGCCGCTCGAGTCGATCTCCCACGCCGCGTTTGGCGAGCAGGAGTGGTTGAACATGGCGATCGATGCCTAGTCGCCAGCCATTGGTCAGAGCCGAGAGGAGCTCAGAGAGCAGGAGGAGTGGAGCACTGCAAGCCATGCCTAGTCGTCCACCCTCGATCATCACAGTCGCTAGTTGATGCAGCAGAGGGGAGCATGGCGGTCGCTGCCGAGACGCCGATGCCAACCTCACGCAGCGGATCGCCTGATGTGGCAGCGCAAGCGGACGCTTCTTTGGCCCGCCGTCGCCCGCTGTTCACAACCGTGCGGCCGAGGGCGGCGGCGGGGCGGGCGGCGGCGGCGAGGGTGGCGGCGACGGGGGCGGGGCTCGCGGACGGTCCTCGCGTACGGCCCTCGAGGAGGCGGAGAAGGAGGTAGTGGGGACGGTGGTGGGGGGGGTGGAGGAGGCGGTGATGATGGTGGGGGAGGAGGAGGAGGAGGCGGTGATGGAGGAGGCGGTGATGGAGGAGGCGGTGATGGAGGAGGCGGTGATGGGGGGGGGGGATGGTGGGGGAGGCGAGCAGGGGCCGTGCAGACGGTCCTCGACAAACTCCGCCGTGAAAAGACGCGACTGTCGTCCGGCGCGGCCGCACACCTCTGCCGCACCTCGGCCGCACCCTCGACTGCATCTCGGCGCTTGCATCTCGGCGCTTGCATCTCGGCGCTTGCACCTCGGCGGATCTCGGCTGCATCTCGGCTGTATCTCGGCTGGTGGGGCTACCCGGCTCGGCGGGCGCGTAGAGCGTGAGCGAGTTGCAATACGCGCGGCCGAGTAGCCCGCTCGTCTCTGCGAGGCCTATGGACAGGGGCGGTGGACTTGTCATGGACGTGTCATGGACGATGAGGTGAGCACCGCTAGACTCGGCGAGGCCAAGCCGCGCGTGCGCCCCCAGAAAGAAGCGCGCCTGGAACTCGAGGGTCGTCAATGACCGCTGGTCCGTCCTCGACTGTCTGTGTGCGGCGTGACCTTGGGCCCGGGGTTGTCCTCTTGTGTGTGAACAGCTGCTGCGCCGGAGGACCGAAGGGTGTGTGAAAAGCTGCTGCGCCCCCGAGGGAGAGACGCGCCTGCTGCGCCATCGCGAGGAAGTTGGAGGCGAGCTGCTCGGGCACCTGCGCGGCAGCAGGCCGTGGAGAGAGGAGAGGGAGAGCGGGCGCGCGAGCGGGAGTGGGAGAGAGGACGGAGGTGGCAGAAGGAGAGAGCGGCTCCTCTCATCCTGTCGTCGCGGGCAAATCTCGCGCAGATCTCGGGCAGATCTCGGAGGAGGCCGCGCCTCCTCCTCGGGCGGCGAGAAGAGGTCCATCACATCCTCCATCTCGTCGACACAGACGTCGGTGCCGTCGCCGGCGAGGTCCTCCGCCTACGCCGTGCCTCCACCAAGGTCAGGGCCGGAGCACCGCCGAATACACGCTCGGAGAAGAGCCTCCGCCCGATCGGCGTACTGCGGCTCCTCGGGCAGCGCCGCGGAGCGCCAGCGCAGCAGCAGCAACCGCAGCAGCAGCCGCAGCGAGCGTGTGTCCTCTGGTGGCGCGATCCCGGCGGGAGGCGAGCGGAGGAGCGCGAGGGCCTGGCACTCGTCGTCGTGCACGAGGCGCGCAGCCGGTGAGGCGGCGCAGCGCCCGCACAGCCGGCTCGTCCGGCACTTGCCGCAGGGCGGCGTGGTTGTCGGCAGCGGAGAGAGGCAGACGCAGCAGTGGCTGCTCAAGGCCGTGTCGTTGCAGACCGCCGCTGCTGGCAACGCGCGAACCACCTCCGTGCCGGCCTTGAGGCGGCGCACGGCGAAGACGCCCCGCCCGGCACGGTCAGTGTCGCGCACCTCGATCATATCCAGCCGCAGCCGGAAACAAATGTTGGCGCCGCCCCCTTCTTCCAGAAAGAAGAAAACAAAAATATTATTCTCTCGTTAAAAAAAAACATATTGCACAATTGAACAGGACTGTCGAGGCCTCCGTTCGGCTGATGCGCGGTTACAACCGCACGGGCGAGTGGCCAGAGCCCATTCTCACCAGCCCTACCCCGCAGCGCGGCCGCTCGCCAAGCCCCGTCGATGAGTGGTCAGATGGTTAGTGCCCGAGAGCGAGGGGTCCGGGGGGGAGCACAAATAGGACGCCCAGCCCTGCCCTCGTGCCGCCGAGTGCATATCCTATGCGAGAGAGATCCCCTGTGCCCTGTGCCCAGCCCTCTCCGCGCGGCGATGCGCCCTCCCCCCTCGCTTTTGCAAAATCCTGCAAAGGTGGGGACGTGTCTGTCCTCGACCCAGCCCTAGCTTGGGATGTCCGTTGTATTTATTTATTTATTGTCCAGAGAATACAGAGTCGGTGCTGCGCGCGTGACGCGGGGCGCCGGAGGTCCTCAGAATTGTCTGGCGTCGGCGCCGCTACCCTCAGGCCGACGCGCATATCTCGCTCACGCTTGCTTGCGCCGGCGCACAGCCCCCCCCCCCCCCCCCCCCGAAGGAACACACATCGTCTCCTCTCGCCGCGTGCCCGACCCGCGGGACGGCCACCCACAGCGAATGCACGCGGCTCTCTCAGGTTAGGTGAGCGAGCGAGCTACAGGGTTGCCCAGTTCTTGTTCAGCAGCTTGTCAGCGATCTCACGTAGGCGAGCTTTGACTCGTCCGCGGTCGCATACTTGAGGTAGCCACCAGAGCGATGCGAGATGGCGCGGTCAGTGGAATTGATCAGCTCGGCGCGCGACATGTTCTCGGGCAGATCGCGCAGTGCCTGGCTTATCACCGAGGGGCGTTGCAGGAAAGTATTCTTTTTTCGCCTTGGAAATCAGTCTCTGAGAAAAGAAATTCGAGCGAAGCGTGATAAAGGCCTGCAAAAGGCGGGCACCCTCCTTGAGCTGACGTCCTGATCAGGAGCTCCTGCACTTGCAAGCGCGTCCTGATCAGGAGCTCGACAGAGGCGTCGAAGCCCCACCGTGAGCATCATCATGGCACTCTACAAGGCACTGTCAGCCCTCTTGCCGACTGTGGCCCTGGCGTCGTCCTCCAAGCTGCTCGGTAACCAGCTCTCGTACTGCGAGCCACGTGCTTGCGAGGATGAGATCGTGCCAGAGACCATCTACTGCCGGCTCACCTTTGACGTGGTCAACTTCACCGTGGACGGGGTCGGCAACATCACGACTCGCGGATACCAGCGCAACGACACCGACCGCAGCGCAGCCACGCCGATGGGCCCAACGATAAGCGTGTATCCCGGCGACAATCTCACAATCGAGCTGTTCAACAACCTAGACCAGCCGCTGCTCCGGCAAAGGGGCGTGCACAACTTCTACCATGACTTCGAATGGACCAACGTGCACACGCATGGGCTTCATGTCAGCGGCGAAGAGCCCGGAGACTCAGTCTTTGTTGAAGTCGGCCCGAAGTGTTCGAAAAACTACACCTACAGCATCCCCGAGGACCACATGCCGGGGACGTACTGGTACCACCCCCACAAACACGGGTCCACTGGCGCTCACGCTGGAGGAGGAGCAGTCGGCATGATCAAGATTCTCGACCCAAAGGGCACGCTCCCTGCATTCATTGAGTCGACAGACATCGTGCCGGAGCTCGACCTGGTGATACTGGGGCTTGCCGGCGTAATGAAGCAGGGCGCAAACAAAGGCGTCGAGGACAAGATGGCTAAGTGCTGCAAGGCCTACAACAACATCAGCTACAAAACCCCGTCGCAGGTTTTCAAAAGCAGGGCCTGCGATGATTTTGGGATGGCTGGGATGATCGACCCCAAGTACTTCAACGAGGACAGAGAGTGTCTGAATGCCACCCTCAAGGAACTGAATGTCAAGGACTGCGATCGGGATCAGTTCATTGCCGAGCAATGCGACCGGTCCAAGGTTTGGAGCGCGCCCTTCGACTACACGGACGGAGACAAGGAGGGGGGGGGAAACACCTTCCTCGTCAACGGTGATTACAACCCCACGCATTACGTTGCTGCGAACGCTTGGACGCGCCTTCGCATTGTGTACGCTTCGATCGATCAGCAGCTCTACTTTTCCTTGCCAGAAGGGTGCGACATGGAGCTGATGGCCAAGGACGGCGTCTACATTCGCGACATGCCCCGAAGGACCAGTTACGCGTACTTTGGTTCTGGCAACCGTGCTGACATCCTCGTGCGCTGCGCGGGACACACAGTCGACAAGATGCCATGCCCCGAAGACAAAAACAGGATGTGCACGCGGTACCCCATCACGGCCTGGTTTTACAACGAAGCGGGGGAATCGGACAACAGCGTCTGCGAAGCGGTCAAAATGCTAGACCCTGGCTCGAGCGCGGCGAACATCTCTCAGACCATGTACGATGCCGCCAAAACCGCAAATGAAAATTTCGAACCCTCGCTCGTTGCACTTGGAACCATCATGGCCGTACATGAGACTGGCGTCGAGACGTGTGATCTGCCGAATATCAGCGTGACCTACCCTTGCTACCTGGCCGACCTGAGGGACGTGACTGACAGCCAGCTCGCCGCCCAAGCGGGTTTCAGCCCCGACCGTCACATTCATTTTGCCGGGAGTGGCGGCTCGCCGTTGCCATCGATTAACGGAGACTACTATGGCAACGGATACTTCCACACGGGCGACGAGCCAGACATAAAACCTCACCAAAACGACTCGAGGATGGCCGTGCTCCGGCACAGCAGGGCAGGAGGGGAAGATACAAACGTCTTCAGCATGCCTGTCGGCAGCCTGGTCAACTTCACCCTCCATGGCGTGCACTTCCACGCCTTCCACTGGCACGTGAACCCGTTTCAGCTGCAGACGTCGTACGATGAGTTCGGCCTCTTTAACAAGGATGGCCTCGAGACCCACGAGCGACCACGGGCTTTTGAGAAAGGGGACAAGGATGATCGCGCCTTTGAGCCCTATTTCAAGGCTGGTGACTGGCATGACGTTCTGATGGTACCTGCCAAGTGGTGTGCGCCCGTCGACAAGTACGACTGCACGGGGGATCCGGACCAAGGTGACATGCACAACCAAACCGGCGACAAGAACAACTCATTCGGCCAGTGCACTCCTGAGTACTGGGCGCAAACAAACCTTTCCTTCCCCGTCCGCACGAATCTCGACCGTTTCGTCAGTCGGCAGGTCGTCCACTGCCACGTCCTCGAGCACGAGGACCAGGGGATGATGACCCTGCTCGACATCCAAGAGTATAGCAAATGGAAGGAGGCGAATCCAATGGGCGGACCTCAGTCGGGCGACGAGAACAACCACAACAAGCTCGCGTACGGCCGTCAACTCGACCAGATGTGCTACGGACCAATGCCTGCAAACGCAAAGGAAATGGGCATATGGTCGAGCAAGGAAGGAATGTGCTGCGCAGACAAGGATGACGACATCTGCGAGGCGGGACTGAGCTGCCAGTGTGGTACGGAGGACACGACGACTTCCTTGCTCCCGCGGTCCGTTTCGAAGAGGAACTGCAAGTGTCGCCCATCGCCGCCGCCCTCGCCGCCCTCGCCACCGCCCTCGCCGCCCTCGCCACCCCCATCGCCGGAGCCAGTGTCCTGGCTGCGCCTCGCGGCACTCGCCCTCGTCGTGCTGCTGGTGGCGGTCCTGATTGCGATCCTGCTGAAAGCCCTGACACGGGCGAGGCGATGCCCCCCTTCACCTGATGTCCCCAAGCAGAGCCTCCCCTGCGCTGAGTCCATTTAGACCGCTCCTCGAAACACCAAAGAGAGAAGCAGGTGAAGATGTAGATATGTGTGTGTGTGTTTAGTAGAGTGAAGCAGGTGTAGTTTGTGTGTGTTTTGTAGAGTGCACCATCACCTGTTTCCCGCGTGTGGGGAGCATTAAACCTTTGTTGTCTTTCTGTGTGTTCATTGCGCATTTTGCACATTAGGTTTTTCCCGTCTAGTAATTCGCAACGCAAATCCTCATACGATGATAAATTTCTTTTTGCGCACACGCGCGAGGGAAAAAAATTCTTTTTGCCCGTGGACGAGGCCTCGCCGATCGCGGCGCAGCTCGCCCAGCGCGCCGTGGTCGGCTTCCTGTCGACTGCAGTCTCGGACTGCCTCACCAACGGGCTGCGCGTGCTCAAGACGTCGCGCCAGACGTCGCCGACCTCCCTCTCCTACTCCGCCGCTGCCGCCGCCGTCCTGGCCAAGGACGGTGTGGCCGGCTTGCTCGGGCGCGGACTGCGGACCAGACTGCTCATCACGGGCTGCAGAGCGCGCTCTTCGTGGTCGTGTGGAAGCTGATCGAGCAGCGGCTTGACGCCACGTGGCTCTCGAGAGGGGGCGGTGGGTAGAGGCGTGGGGTCTTGCACACTCAGACACGGCGGGGTGGCCCTCTCTACACATGCCTCTGTTTCGTTCCAGCGCCAGTCTCCGCAGGGACCGCACCTGAGACCTGTGTTTGTGAGGGCGTGAGAGACTTCGCTTTCATAATTCTTCTTTTGTGTCGTCGCGTTTGGAGCCACCTACGTACCCGCCGGGTACCCCAAGCAGACCCCCTGTGTGAGCTGGGGAGCTAGCTGCGCGGGAGCGTAGAGCCGAGGCCCTAGCGTACAGGGTACAGCCGAGTTACGCCCGCGTCCCACGTCCGTACGGCTTTATCGTTTATGCGTAGGCGGTAGAGCTCTAACTGCGCCACACGCGTGTTCTCTTCTCGGAAGGTGCTTGTCGCAGTGGCCGGGCGGCGCGAGCGCTAGGACGGTGTTGGCAAAATTGGACCCTCCGTGGTAGAAGCAGCGCGAGAGGGTGAGCATCATCTGCGACGAAACTCGAAAGTGCCTCGTGACACACTCTGGGCAGGCGCCAGGCGGCGCGTGCGCGCGGCGGGGCGTCAGACTTGCGCATGCAGGGCGAGGGGCGAGCGTTACCAGGTCCAGAAAGATCTCAGCAACGTCGGAGCTGTTGAAGTCGTGCTTGAAGACAGGGTTGACCATGCACTCTGCGCAGCCTTGGGCGCGCACACGCGCTGTCACCGAGCGGGGGAGAAGGACGGACGCGTTTAGGCCGGCGCCACCGCCGAGCACAGCCGCCTTGAGAGGCGTGTTGTCCGTCGCGAGGAAGAGGGGCACCTGTGGGATATGTCCTGGACGAGTCATGCACAAGCACATGCTCGCGTGTGGTCCGCCGCGACAAGAGAAGATTTCGCCTTGCCCTCGCGGACAAGGCAATCCAGGATCCCAGTCGCGTCACCCACTGTCATGCGCACGTCCTTCTTGAGCAGCACAGGGGCCTTGGCAAACTGTTCCGCGAGCGGGCAGCGGGAGCTGAGGTGCGAAGGCGTGGGCGCCGACTCCATACAGCGCAGCGCAGCGGCGCGCCTTGTACGGATTGCCAGGTGCGCCGTCGCCGAGGCGGAGGTGCACGCCGTCGAATGGCTGATCGGCAAAGAGTGCCCGCCTCCGCGCCTCTACGGTTCCTCTCAGGTAGGGGGTGGCCGTAAACAGCGCGCGGATAAGGCAGCCGAGCGAGTCTGCGCGGAACTCTGCGCCTCCGCGCTCGCCACGGGATGCGTTGCGACTGTGCCGAGGGTGGGGCGGTTAGTGGCGCTGATCGGACGAGAGGTGCCAAGATCGCTCTCACTGCGATCCTTCCTAGGTCGCTAGACCAGTGAGTGTTGCCAGTGACCCGCGTGTACTGCCTGCCGCTGCTCCAGAACTCGTCACCGCCCGGCGCTGGTCCATTCCACCGATTGACGGGCACATCCCTCAGCGCGGCCGCCTCCTCCGCAGTGACTCGCCACTCGATGCGTGTGCTGCCCAGATCGGTCGGCTCGAAAAAGTCAGAGAGTGGGACGGGCGACAACCAGTCGACCAGCAGCACCTGCGGCGCCAAAGGGGAATGGGTTTCGGTCACGGCTGGGAGACGGCAGGTAGCTTGCGGTGCGGACGCCTGCCGGCGGTAAGCTGCCAGGCGCAGGAGGTAAGCGATGATCCGGAAGCGGTCACCGAATCCAAGGCATCGGGGGTTGGTCCCCGGCATGAATGGACGGCACGTGTACACAAGGTATTCTGCTCCCGGCGCATGGCGGTGCGCAGCATGCCACCGGGCGTACTCGCTCAGCCAGTGGGCGCATGGCGTGGGCTGAAGGTGCAGGAGAGGGCGGCGCTGCCCGACGACAGGGGTAGCCCTGTGATGGCGGTGCATAATGGACACTCCCAGCTGGGCTTCCCTTCCGGCGGCTTGTCAGAGTGGAAGGTGTGCGCCAGCCAGAGAGAGGGACGCGCGAGTTCGTGCACTCAGGCCAATCGTTGTTTTGTCGAGTTTGGCGCGGCGCGAAAAATCACGGTGTAGGGCCCAGGCACACAGTCGAGAACGGACAAACAGAGTACAGAGATCGATCGACACGGTCAGGCAGCGCCGGGTCTCAGAGAAGGCTGCAACCGCCTCTGTCTACTCAGTATTAACGAGCGTCATCTTGTAGTGAACAGGCCGACTTCGCGGTTTGAGCGCCCAGCGCAGACCGACCGACCGCAGGGGGGGTCCGGTCGGCGGCCGCGGAATACCGCAGACCGAAGGGGGGGTCCGGTCGGTCGGAGCGCAGACCGAGGGGGGGGTCGGTCGGGTTGGCTCGAGGGTCACACCGCACACGGTGGCATCATGGTCCAGGGGAAATTTGGAGACGCGAAGACCGGGTGCGAGGCAGATCATGTTGCCGGCATAGCTCTGCCCGCGCGCAACGCGCAGCATGTCGCGATACGCGATTAATAGTTAGAGGCTGCGCAGGCCGTCCCGTTTGCTGTTTGAAACGCCTGTTGCGCTGGCGCCGCTGCGCCGTGCGCGCGCGCGCTGGCCGCTGCCGGGGCTCTGTCTCACTCTCACGTGCCGCAATATGTATCACACACGGCGGCTTCTGCCACCTCTCGATTGGTTCCACTTTCTACGCACACCTACCGGGGAAGGGGCGCTTGGGAGCGGGGGCGGGGGCGGGGGCGGGGGCGCGCAGCGCGGCTGCGCGGCGCGCGCAACAGAGGGTAGGGTGGGGAAGACGGCGAGGAGGGGGCGGCGGCGGCGGCGGCGGCGGCAGCGCGCGCGCGGCGCGCGCCACGAGGTCTCGGAGTATCGCAGGCTAGGACAGGATACGGCGGCAGCGGGAGAGGGAGGGAGGCGAGAGCGGTGGGCGATGAGAGTGATTTCCCCGATCTCGCTAAAAGTGGCCGTGTCCCCTCCGGGGGGGGGGGGGGAG